TTACAACTCAAGGCTTAAATTTTTCCTCAATTCTTTCAGCTTGAGAAATGTAGAGCTTTAGTTGTCTAACTCCAGATTTTTGCACATTTCATTTTAGTAATTGGCTTTGTCTACTCGAGCTGCTCTTTGAAATCTTCAGTTCAATTCTTTTATCTTGTCATTTCTTCCATTTGCTTCAGCTACTCTCAGCTCAAGGGCAAGTTTCAGAGTCGCTTCTGTCATCCATTTTGGTCTTCTCTTCTTTTGTTGTCTTTTTAGTGACCTTTTGCTTTATTCATTGATGATGTTCTTGATGTCATTCCACAATTCTTCTAGTTTTCAGTCATTGGTGTTCAATGCATCAAATCTATTCTTTAGATGGTCTCTAAATTCAGGAGTGATATATTCTAGATCATTATTTGGCTCTCATGGACTTGTTTTAATTGTCTTTAACTTCAAGTTGAACTTGCATATGAGCAGTTGATAGTCTGTCCCACAATCAGCTCCTGGCCTGGTTTTGGCTGAAGATACTGAGCATCTCCATCGCCTCTTGCCACAGATGTAGTCAATCTGATTCCTGTGCATTCCATCTGGTAAATTCCACATGTGTAGCTGCCACTTGTGTTGTTGAAAAAAGGTGTTTGCAATGACCCTGCCATTGGTCTTGCAAAATTCTACCATGTGCGTTCTAGCATTATTTCTGTCACCAAGGCCAAATTTTCCAACTACCAGTGATACTTCTTTGTTTCCAACTTTTGTATTCCAGTCACCAGTGATAATTAACACATCCTGATTGCATGTTCAGTCAATTTCAGACTGTAGAAGTTGATAAAAAAATCTTCAATTTCTCCATCTTTGGCTTTGGTGGTTGGTGCATAAATTTGAATAATAGTCATATTAATGGGGCTTCCTTGTAGGCGTATGGATATTATCCTATCACTGACAGCATTGTACTTCAGGAAAGAGCTTGAAAAATCCTTTGTGATGATGAATGCCACACCATTCCTCTTTAAACTGTCATTCCTGGCATAGTAGATCATATGGTTGTCTGATTCAAAATGGCCAAAACCAGTCCATTTCAGCTCACTAATACCTAGGATATCAATCTTTATGCGTTCCATTTCATTTTTGACAACTTCCAATTTTCCTACATTCATACTTGGTACATTCCATGTTCCGATTATTAATGGATGTTTGCCAGTGTTTCTCCTCAATTTGAGTGGTGCCACATCAGCAAATGGAGGTCTCGAAAGCTTTACCTTTTCCGTATGAGTGAGGCTGATTTTACTCTGATAATGCAGCTCTTGCCCTGTCCTACTTTGAGAGCTTTCTAAGCTAAGTGATTCATCTTCCTCCTCTATATTGGACAATTTTCTGGACTATTCATAAAGTTGTGCAGTAATGTATGAGACAGTGTTTCTCTGCTATTTGTAAGGTTTTCCCTGGCCAATTCTTTGAGAAGTGGATGGCTTCCTTCTTCTTCCTAGTCTATCTCAGTCTGCAAGCTGGACCAAGACCTGTGCACAATGTGCACCCCACTGGGTTGGAAACACCAGTGGCACAGCCTCAAGACTCACAGCATCATGTCACCACAGTAGGACAAACTGACAGAAGTTTGTCTCCCTTAGCTGTTGGAAACCTCTCCAACCACTTTTACCTGGATCCCTGCAGCTGATCTGTCCTGGTTCTCTTTGCCTTTTCTGTCCTCTCCCTACTTACCTGCCTTTCTGCTTAAGGGGCATGGCCTGGGTTTCCTCTCCTTACCTGGGCCCCTGCAGCTGACTCCTCAATCTGTTCCCATCTCCTTTGCCTTTTCTGTCCTCTCGAACATAATACATAGAAATTGTTAAATAGCAACCTAATTTTCTACGTATACTTTCACCAAAACCTCAGTAAAATATTAAAAGAAAAATTGGAAAATTGTTTCTTAAATAAAGAAATACATTTAAAGGAAACATTTACTAAATAGGTACCATTCATTTTATAAAATACATAGTCTATGGGCCATGAGGAATGTACTATCTGACCCATGGCCATTCAAACCACTTGGATGCTATAATAAACTTATACTCTTTCAGGAAATTATATTTCAGTTGCTCAGTTATCAGTTTTTTCCTATAATTCTAAGTAAACATAAATCCAAAATATATGTATAATTATGGCTCCATAGAAGCGTTAGAAATAAATGGATAAGTTATGCAAATTTCTTCCCTTTCTTGGGAATTTGGGCAAAAATTGCTATATGATTATAAGGTCAAATTTGAAATGTATCCACTGAAAACATACTCATTTGCTTTTATAGGAATCCCTTTATTTAGCAATATTTGTTTGTGTTGTGCCATGGAAATCATTTTATTAAATTTACTTCACCAGAGTTAATGATCAAAGTGAACATTATCTGTATTGGGACAAATTGGGATCATGTGCCCTCAGTAGGATATGATGATGGCACAGCATGATTTTTATGGTCTTTCTGCCAAAGTTGCAGAAATCTACACATGAGTCGGTATATGAAGAAAATACAAATGAAGAGAGATTCTACACAGTCACTAACCGGTCATTTCCAAAAAGTGTTAAGGTCATGAAAGTTAAGGAGAGCCTGAGCAACTGTTTCATTAAATAGAACACATGATTCTAAAATCGACATTTGGCAAATTTTTTGTGGATTTTGAAACTTATCTGTCAACTCTGACTCCTAGCAACCCCATATGTGTCACATTGAGAACTCCATAGGGTTTTCAATGGCTGATTTTTCAGAAGTTGATCATCAGATCTTTCTTCTGAGGTGTCTCTATGTGGACTCCAACCTCCAACCTTTCAGTTAGTAGCCCAGAACCTGAACTATTTGCACCATCCAGGGACTCCAATTTCTTGATTTTGATGATTTTGTAGGAAAATGTCTTTGTATGAAATACACACTGAAGTATTTGGTGGTGATGATGTAATCTAAAACAAACTACTTTTGAATGTTTAGGAATAATTTGTACTGTACCTTTTTGGGAGCTCTGGTGGTGTATAGTGCCTAAGGCATTTGACTGCTAACCAGAAGGTCGGCTGGTAAAATTCACCAGCCACTCCTTGGAAAGAAGATTGGGCAATTTACTTCTGTAGAGATACTGCCTTGGAAACCCAAGGTCACTATGAGTTGAATTGACCCGATGGCAGTGTTTTTTTTTAAATATATACATCCTTTTTAATATAATTTTTACATTGTTTCAAAATAATGATAATCAAAATGAAAACCAAGACTCAAAAATTTATGTAACCTACTTGATGCCACATGGATAGTATGTAGCAGCCTCAAATTGAAATTCAGATGTATTTATTTTCAAAGTATCAGACATCACACATGGATAAAGACAGAAGCTGCTACTGCTCTCCTGTGACCTTCCTGGAACTGCTATGCTGCCCAACAGCTGAACCTTCAGGACAGAGGAAAGTGGAGCATTTAACTACTTGCCAATGAGCCCACTGACTCAGCTTTAGGCTCCAGAGCCAGATGTCAGTAGGTCTTAGGTCCAGTGGTGAACCGAGCCAGGTTCCAGGACAGAACAGAGTGCTTCAGATCAGGCTTACCTCCTTCAGCTTGAGCTGTGGGATCTACACTTTATAGAACCACACCAAGAACCAAATGGACACTTCCAGAAGCAAAGAGGCTCTGGAGCTGGAAAGGCCCCATGAAGAAGTCATATGGAGAAATAGTTTTGCCTTTTTGATCTTCTGGAAAAGAGTCTGACCCAGAGTAGTTCTCTTTGTTGGTGGACACTGGGAAGTTTTTGATCCTAGGACTGTGGGTGTGTCACCAGCCCAAAGAAGACACAAGGCTCAAGAGGGAGAGGGCTTCCTTGAAGATGTATCCTCATGCATGTACATATGAGGGTCCTAATCTTTCACTGCTTGGAAGCTGGATTCAGATTTAGGAGAGGGTGAGTGGCCTTCAACCTATGGGAAACGTCCCCTCTGATAGACCTGTGGTTCTTGGTAGCAGATTCTAAGTTCCTCTCAAGAGTCTTAAGTGCTGCTCCAGCCTGAGTGTCCTGCAAGGAAATGAGCTGTGTAAACTAGATGGCACTTCCTGCTTGGCCTTTCCCATAGTAGAGGCCCTTGTGACTGGGACCTCTCCAGGGTGGGGCAGGAAACTGGTGGCCCCATAACACTATATATGGTGCTTCCCATCCCTCCACTCTGACCTTGAGGCAGAGATCCATATGACCTAGAGGCTGTCTGTGTGGGTGAGTTTCTTCCTGTCCCCACTCTGGGTCATTCCAGAGCACAATGTTGCAGAAATTTTAACCAGTCCAGTAGTCATAGACTTAACTTGGGCCCTAGGCAGGGTGGAGGGGGCTCTCCACAGCCTACTGGGAATTGTTCCACTGAAACATAACTGTGGGTGCAGGGAGATGGGCTTTAAAATATCCTAATACCCTGCTGTACTCCTCAACCAGGCCCACTCCCTCAGAGGTTAGCAGGACCTGCTAAGGAGGAAATGAGGAAAAAGCTCCACAAGAAGCAGGATATATTTCAGCAAAGGGAAGAGGGCATCACTGACAGAGGCCCAGGTTTGGGCCTAGGTTGTCTCCATTTACCCTCAGGGCTCTGAACTCTCAGCATCTGAAAAGAGGGCAGCACTGTGCCCAAGGGATAGACAAAGTGGGTCCACCAATGAATGACTACATCCTTCCTCCCAACAGTCCAGGGATTGAGGTTTAAGTCAAGAATGTCTCCAGGACATTAAAGATCCATCTGAAGTCAGTACAAGTGAAGTGACTTCCGGAGGGTTACACTGCAAGACCCTAACAATTTTGTGCTAGGGGTGTGAAATCATTTCAGAAACCAAATGACTATAAGTTTCTGTGGACAGTCCAGGTCTTTCCAGCTCTTGTCTGGGCCTGCCCTTGCCTTTGGTCTATGCCAGGTGCCTGCATCTGGACAGAGCACAGCAAGGGTAGCAGAACTTTGACAAGTGTTTCCAATGGGCCAACAGCCCTTCTTTCTGCAGGACAAGCTGTGGAACAGGAGTCATGTGTCTGTGCTCTCTGGCCTTCACTCCCCTCTTGCTGGTGGTGTCAGGCATTGTATGTGATGTGCAGGAAGTTTGTGTTGGGAATCCTGGCATTCCTGGAACACCTGGATCCCATGGCCTGCCAGGCAGAGATGGGAGAGATGGTATCAAAGGAGATCCTGGACCTCCAGGTACTGGTCTAGAGGAACCACTCTCAATTGAAGGGCAGTGTCCATCTTCATATGGCCTCTCTATCTAGGGCTGTGGGCTGGGTCCTGAACAGGTGTCTAAGGGTCAGCTAAGGGTGGGAAATAGTAAGAGTTTCCTGGGGCTCTTAGGTTGGAAGAGCCCTGAAGAACCTCTTCTCAAACTGCCCAAGGGGCAACAGGTGAGTCAGCCCAATGACAATGGACTTCACATAAGTCCCAGCTTAGCTGTGGGTGACAGACCCTACAAATCAATGATCTCTCCACCCTGCAGGCCCCATGGGACCTCCTGGAGGAATGCCAGGGCTTCCTGGGTGTGATGGACTGACTGGAGCTCCTGGAGTCCCTGGAGAGCGTGGAAACAAAGGACAGCCTGGAGATAGAGGACCCCCAGGTGAGCAGGGTTGGGACAAGCAGGCTGTGGGTTCACTAGTATAGTGTCCAGGTAGTCAGTTATATGGCTATCCAAAGCCTGTAACAGGATTCAGCCAAAATCATGGCCACACAAATGTCAATGAGAGGTCCCCAAAGAGCAGGTTATCCAGGTAGGAGGAGACTCAGCGGGAAGAAGAGTCAGATAAGTCTGGATAGTACTGTCAAAATTCAGGGACTGACTAATTTTGGGAAGTGTTTTCCACATCATGGCTGCTGTGGGGAAATATCCGGTGCAGGTGTGAGAATAAGGACAGAATTTTTTTGAACTGAAGTTCTTGGGGCATTCTGAAAGGAGTGCAGGCTTGTGTGGACTGGAGGTTTGGGCCGATGGTCTTTTTCAGAGTCCTACGTGCAGAAAGGAGCCCCAACGCTCTGAATAGTAATCAAAGTCCATCAAGAAATGTAGAGAGAACTACACTTGTCCTTGATAGTGGTGGGAAAGGGATCTTCCCAGAAACCAGGAAATCCTCTTTTTGTTGGACAGACAGCTAGCTAGTTGAGTGCTGTGCCAGGAAAGAGCGAGGAGGGAGCTATACAGGCACAAAATTGCATAAAAATGTGTGTGTGTATGTGGGAGTGTGGGAACACCTCCAATCTCATGGGCTTATAACATGAGGCCCAGGAAGTGAAGATGCACAAATAAAGGGCAGAGCCAGACCTGTAGCTGGGACAGCACTTGCTTCATAACCATGAGAGCCATTGTTGGTTTGTCCCTCATACTCAGTGGTGGTCTTTCCACAGGGCTTCCAGCTCATCTAGACGAGGAGCTCCAAAGCACACTCCACAACTTCAGACATCAAATCTTGCAGTCAAAAGGAGGTAAAGGGGCCCTTTGGTTATTACAGGGTAGGAGGCTCTTCCACAGTTCTTGTTATCCTTAGCACCTGCCTCTAGAAACTAGAGATCTGACAAACAAGTGTGGATATATATAGGTCATGGGGAAAGGAGTGGTGCTTCTCCTTTCTGATGTCTCTGGATGATCTAGAGGAATATAGGGGAGATATGTCTCAGGAAGCATAGGGTTCCTAAGTCTGCCTATCTTGCTTTCTACTGAATCCCTGGGCATATAAGTAACAGATGGATGAGAGAATAGAGGGGAAGTTAGAAAGAACAGGATTAGAAGAGAGAGGGAAGGCCCAGAGAGGCAGAGGTGAAGAGACTGGAGAGACAGCAGACAGAGGGCCAAATTGGGCAGACAGGACTTAGAGGCAGCAATTGGTGGCATAACCTGGCACCCTTGCTCTCAGTTCTCAGCCTGCAGGAATCCATGCTGGCAGTGGGAGAGAAAGTCTTCGCCACCAATGGACAATCAGTCAATTTTGATGCCATTAGAGAGTCATGTGCCAGGGCAGGTGGTCGCATTGCTGTTCCAAGTAACCCAGAAGAGAATGCAGCCATTGCAAGTATTGTGAAGAAACACAACACTTACACCTACCTGGGTCTGGATGAAGGTCCCACCCCTGGAGAGTTCTACTACCTGGATGGTGCTCCTGTGAACTACACCAATTGGTACTCAGGGGAGCCCAGGGGCCAGGGCAAGGAGAGGTGTGTGGAGATGTACACAAATGGGCAGTGGAATGACAAGAACTGCCTGCAATACAGACTGACCATCTGTGAGTTTTGAGCAGGCACAGAGGTCAAAATTCCCATCCTGAGCATTTACCTGGTGTATGGGAGGCTTTAACTTCTCTCAAGAAAATGATTTCTAGTTATTAAAGCTGGAGGCATCCATAGCCCCTCCCTCCCTGGAAGGGACCTGATTCCTTCCATCATCACTAATCAATCCTGGCACCCTTTGCTGAGCTTCTAGACTTCTTCTGACTCTTTCTCATCACTTCCCTCTGTGAGCCACCCCTAACCTTTGGCCTTTGGCATCATGTAGAAACTTCTTTCTTCCTCATCTTGTCCAGTTCCTTCATTTATAGATGGCAACAGGGAGGTCCTGAGATAGAAGGGCCCTCCAAGGTCATACACAGGGACCTGCAACCTGGCCCCCCAGGAATTTCTTTGCACCTACCAGCCCAGCCCCACCAAGGTTTAGCAGTGGTTGGCAAGCATAATGATAGAGTCTGGAAAGTTGCTAATATATTCCAAATGTGTAGGGCTGAGGACATATTATCAGGAGGGACCAGTCCCTGGAGAAGGACATAATGCTTGGTAAAGTAAAGGGTCAGTAAAAAAAGAGGAAGACCCTGAATGAGATGGATTGATACAGTGGCTGCAACAATAGTCTCAAACATAGGAATAATTGTGAGGGTGGCACAGAACCAGGCAATGTTTCATTCTGTAGTGTGTACGATTATTTTGAAATAACAAGACAGCAACTAACAACAACAACAAGAACACATTTGAGATTACATGGTATTATGGACCTCTGGGGCACACCTGGTCAGGTTCTCCATAAGATCAGAGAGCCAGGAGTGGCCCCAACATGGTGAAAGCCAACCCAATCCTGGTTCCACTTCCTTGAGACTGGGGTGCTCACTCAGTCCTTTGATCTAAGAGCAGCCAGCTTTTGCCTCCAGGACAGATCCTCCAGACATGAGCCAAGTAACTTGCTGTTGATGGACTTGGCTCCACACTGCTTCAGATCTTAGTAGGGCCTTCACACCTTTCATCCTGGCATCGATTTCTCCTTTCATTTGTTCATTCAGATATTTTATTAAAATCAACTGTGTGTCAGGTCTTAAGCTGTGTCCTGGGCATGGGCAAAGTACCCTGTCGCTCTTGGGGACATTTGTTTTTCCAGAGTTTATTTCTTCATTTGTGTAATGGAGATAAGATACTTACTGCTGCTACAATTATTACCAGCACTCCTACTAAGAAAATTATCACCACAATCAGACTATTTATTGAGTACATACTATGTACAAAGCTTTGCAAAACACTTCTAATCCATCTTATTAAATATTATTTAGTCCTAATGACAATGCCATGGAGCCAATATGAGGACATTGAAGCTCAGAAAGATTAAATGTTTTAAATATTATCACCTGGAACAAGTGGCAAAGGCAAGATTCAATGCTCTCCCTCTTGTAAACTTTTAAGAACTCAGACACTACTGACCATAATGGGAGACAGAACATGAACTTTAAGAACTATATTATGCCAATTGACTGGATGTTCTCTGAGACCCCATTGGCCCAAAAATGATTTGAGTATAATAAATCATGAATACATTTACATGAGTTTCCATTGACTTTGGTTCTAAGAAACATCACATTTCCACACAGTTATAACTCAAGGTTATCTCTGGTTTTGAGCCCTCACCTGCCTGAAGAGTGGGAAATTCAATTTCAAGATATGCTTGCTTTGTTGGATGAGAGGAGCCATGTGCTCTCCTTTGATTATAAAATTGTAAAATTTCATAGATTGTAACATTGGACCCTGGGGTAAGCCCCTTTGCTCTTCTCTGCAGCCCACCACTTGCCATGTGGGAAACTTCTGGAAGAATATGTAGGTGTCAGAGTTTGATGGATTGCCCCTCAGGTCACATGATCTGTTTGTAGATGGTGATTTCATGCCCTTCATTCACCAGTCAGCTACTTGGATCATCTCCTCAGCCCCATGATGGTGGCAGTCAGTGATCAAGATCAGGTCTCTGTGAGCCATCATTGTCCCAGGACAGTCTGCATAGAATGGGACCATGACCTTATTTCTTGAGGAAGCAACCACATATGTGTCTCCATCCCCAGAAAGTTCCCCCTCCTCCCACCTTCACATATTGGAATGAACCCTTGCTGCATTTACTTCTTAGAATGGATGGCATTTAGGCTGGGCTTTTATGTTTGGGTAGCAGACTTGCTAAAAAAAGGAAATGGGACATTGCAATAAGTGGAAACTGCCAAATAAAGGCCTTGGGGGAGAGTGTGGGCAAGCCAGTTTGGCAAGAGTGTGGGTAGTCAAATGTGAGTGATAAATATAGTGGCATTGAGGAAGAGAAAGACATAGAGAGGTACGTGGGAAGTACAGACAACAAAGATGAACACTTTTGCACATATAGTATGGCATGCACAGTGAAGGCAAACATGGGTATATGGGTGGATAGATGGGTGGACAGGCTGAAATATTAGGTATCTCTATGAAGGGGAGAGTGCACCCAAGAACATGTATAGGGTTGGCAGACAGTGGTCCAATAACTTTATGTGTATGATCTGAATTCCCAGGTGTATAATGGGGCTGACAAGGGGCAAGGTTGTAGTCACTGCTTGGTCACAGCCAGCTACCCAAAGGGACCAAGTAGTTGAATCTGTGGGCTCAGGACCATAGTTACAGGGGACATCAAGTTCAATTGGTATAACATACTACACAAAACATTGTTCTACCTCCTACTTTGGTGAATAGTGACTGGGATCTTAAAAGCTTGCAAGGAGCCATCTAGATGCAGCGATGTGTCTCTCCTCATCCAGAGCAAAGAATAATGAAGAAAACCGAAGATTCATGGGAACAATTAGTCCTAGCAACTGGTACACCATGCAATCCATAGACTATATGACTATGAGACCAGAAGAAATAGATGGTGTCAACCACTTAGAAGAGGATCTTTGTAGGAGATCCTGGGTAGACAGGGGGAACAATGTGGAACAAAACTCAAAATCATTTGGAAAAAAAAAGTGGGGAACAGGTTTGCTGGCCTGATGGAGCCTGGTGGAACCACTGAGACTGTGGCCCCTAGCTGCCTTTCAGGTCTGGAATTGAACACACACCTGTGGCTTCCGGCCAAGCAGTAGACAGGCATACTAGTTAAGCATTTGCTTGAGGTAGATACACTCCTTGGAGAGAACAAGCAAGAGAGAAAGAAGGGCTGCTCAGGCACAGGGAGACAGCTCAAGGGGAAGGAGTGCATGGAGGGATGGACACCGGGAAGCAGTACCTATCTGGAGGAAGTGGGAGAGGAGATTTTGCATTGTGCTAAATTGTGGTCAATGTCATGAGACAAAGTGTATGTGATCTGCTGTATGGAAAGTGTATTTGCTCTATAAATTTTCACCCAAATCACAATAATAATAAAAAAAAAGAGTGTGGGTACTAAAGAGCAGTGGGGAGTAGGCCTGGAAGGAGGCTTTGAGTACTGAGTGTTGGGAATCACAGAGGAGATGTTACAGAGGTGTTAGAGGGGCATGGCTCCCACCCTGGTGAGGGAAAATGGGGTAGTAGGTATGGGGGCATGGCTGAGGGCCTAATTTCTCTCCAAGGGTGGGGAGAGTGCCTACAGGATTGGTCTCTGCTTCCTGACATGGCCTGTGGCACAGAAGGACCATGGAACTGTGAGCTCTAACTTGGGCAGCTGGCAAAGAGATGGAAGGACTCTCTCAGAAGCAAGAATGTGGCAAGAGGCACAGGAATGTTGGGAAGAGGAGGTATTGGCTGTGTTAATGTGATTCATTCATCAAGCACATCACTGGATGCAGAACCTCTGTACCTCACCTTGTGAGGACAAATGCAGAGTGGCTGGACATGAAGCCAATGCTCTCAGCAGATACACAGGAGCACAGTGATGGCAACCAAAGCATACAGTATTATATTTTGTAATATCGTATTCTGAAAGGCCCATTTCCTTTCAGTTTTATTTTATTTTTGGTGAAAATATACCCAGCAAAACCTGTTCCCATTCCATAGTTTCTATGCATAATTGAAGACATTGGTTATATTCTGTATATTGTATCAAATATTTATTATTTCTGTTCAATTTGTCTTACTTCCACTTACTTAATCTCTTTGCTCCTCAACCTTCTCATCTCTGCTTTAAAACAGCTGTTGATTATTTGGTCTTATATAGATAATTATTTTAAAAAAGAAATGCAACACTCAAGTCTGACAATCTTACTCTTTGGGCTAAAACGTTACTTAAAGATAACTTCAGGGGATAGTTTTAATTCAAAAGATGAAGACCAACTTTGAGCCATAGCCCTGGGGACTCCTCCAGCCTCAATAGGTTCAGTAAGTCTGGATTCTTTAAGAATTTGAAGTTCTGTTCCATAATTTTCTCCCTTTTTATCAAGTTCCTGATAAGAATATTCAGTAGTAGTAGCTGAGCACCATCTAGTCCTGGTTTCAATGTGGAGGAGTCAATGATTCATGAATACAATTCGTCCTGTAGTCCAGTTCTTTCTTTAGTTCTTAGGTTTCCTTCTTTCTTTCTTGTTCCAGAGAAATAAAGACCAGTAGTGGTATCTTCTTGGAAGGAAGGTTGGGCAATCCTACTTCCGTAGTGATACTGCCTCAGAAACCCAAGGAGGGGTCGCTATGAGTCGGGGCCGACTCGACAGCAAACAACAACAACAAACAACAGTGGTATCTTGGCCTCTCGTAAACTTTTAAGAATTCAGACACTACTGACCATAATGGGAGATAGAACATGAACTTTAAGAACTATATTATGCCAATTGACTGGATTGTTCCATGAGACCCCATTAGCCCATTATCTCCTCATTGACTTGAAACAACACCTATATAAAATTTTATTTTATTTCCCTGGTTTTTTTCTTTATTATTCCATTGTTTGATCTTAAATATTGTTATATTATGTTTTGGTACCTAATATAACAAGAAATATATTCAAAGTTGGAACGAATACATGGGTGGGAAGATGACATTGTACTGATGGTTCACAAGCTTAGTCCC